AGCAGAAGTGTGGAAGTACCACTGGCCACTCACAGAGAAGCACAGAGACCTGGTGTAGGATCTGTTACTGCAAATAACTGTGGTTCCCTCCTTATTACCTCAGATAAGGGAGAGAAAACTATGGACCACATACAGTTTTAACTAAAATTTCAACCCACACATGGCAATTTTTGAAAGACTCAGGCAAAGAGCTGATTCTAAAATGTTATTTAGAAATTATTCTTGAGATTCCTCTCTGTGCAGGACACCGGACTGTCTATGGGACTTAGTGTCGGAGATGGTGACTTTTAGAGGATCATAATCTGGTGTAGAAGAACAAGCCATGTGAACATTCAAACACAAAGGTGGATGAAGGGGCAGGAAAAGGCCTGCAGGAAGGCAGGTGACAGAAGTGTCAATCATATGTACTCACGTGGTTTCTGAGTGCCTACTCTGTGGCAGGGGCTGGGGAGTCAAAGAAGAATAAGCAATAAGAATAAGGGTCTTCCCTTGGGAGGATCAGGGTCAAAATATGTTTAAAGAACACAGCAGTTTCTCGCAATTTCTTTCCTGCTCCCCTTTTCCACCTAGTTCTCTGTCTCTGATAATTGGAACGTATTATTTTCCCCCAAGCCTTCATCATTCTCTGAAACAATCCTGCTCATTTATTTGGTTACTTGATAATAGTTTTATTCCCTCCACTGGAATGTGAGCTCCCTAGCAGCCTGTTCTATATTAGCCCCAATCCCTAGAATGGTGCCTGGCCATTAACGGTTGCTCAGTGAATGCTGACCAAATGACATGTAGCCCAATAAGAATCACAGAGGCCAGTAATAAAAGGGATTAAGGGCATTGGGTTTGGATCCAGACGACCTGGGTTCAAACTTCAGCTCCTCCGTCTACTCGCTGTTTTACTTTGGTCTAGGTACTCTACCTTTCTATTCCTCAGTTTCCCTAAATGCCTAATATAACCAGCCTCGTAGGATTGATAGGAGGATTGAATGAGTTAATACACACAGTAAAAAGCACTTAAAGCAGGGGCTAGCAAACATTCTCTTAAAGAGCCAGTTAGTACATATTTTGGGTGTTGCATGCCATGTGGTCTCTGTTGCCATGACTGAACCCTACCCTTGTTGCACAAAAGCAGGAGTAGACAATACATATACAAACACATGGCCCAACTCTAATTACAACATTAAGAATTATAGTACAACATGTAACATAACATATAAGAACCATAGTATGGTGGGGCAGGAGTTGGGAAAAAAAAAGAACAAATATAATATTCTGTTGGCCAGGGAACTTGAAGTCTTTTTTTGTGTGTGATTCCAAGTCTCTGAGCCACAGTTTAGTCATCGGTACCATGAAGATAATAACTACGCTTTCCTACCTCACTGGGTTATTTGGTGATTGCATCAGATAAAAGATGAAATGAGAAGCACAAATGTACTGTGTACAAATAAGGCAAAGTGATCTATAAAAATGGTTCTGTAAAGTTGGTTCAAAATATGTACTAACTGGCTTTTTAATAAAATGTTTGCTAGCCTCTACTTTAAGTGCTTTTTACTGTGTGATTAACTCATTCAATCCTCCTATCAATCCTACGAGGCTGGTTATATTAGGCATTTAGGGAAACTGAGCACAGAAAGGTAGAGTAACTAGATTAAAGTAAAACAGCAAGTAAATGGAGGAGCTGAAGTTTGAACCAAGGTCGTCTGGATCCAAACCCAATGCACTTGATCCCTTTTATTACTGGCCTCTGTGACCCCTATTGGGCTGCATTGGTCAACATTCACTGAGCAACCATTAGTGGCCAGGCACCATTCTAGGGATTGGGGCTAGTACAGAACACGCTGTTACAGAGCTCACAGTTTAGTCATCGGTACCATGAAGATAATAACTACGCTTTCCTACCTCACTGGGTTATTTGGTGATTGCATCAGATAGAAGATGAAATGAAAAGAACAAATGTACTGTGTACAAATAAGGCAAAGTGCTGTATAAAAGTGGTTCTATAGTGCTGTTTGGAACCAAGATTGCCACGCAGTAGGTAGGTCAGATATTATGACACCCATTTCATAGATGAGGGTGCCAGAGATATTAAATGACTCATCTGAGGCCACATAGCTGATACATGAAAGACCTCAGTTGGAACCCAGACAGTGTTCATTCTAGCACAGTGTCCTTAACAACACAGTACCGCTCCCCACACATGGAACAGAAGCCTTATGCTACAGAGTTTCGCTTGGGATTTGTTTTTCTTTTTTTTTACACACGAGTACACCATTTCTCTAGGCACATCCCATACCAAAAGATTCCATAAGTCCTCCAGCACTTGCTTCTTGTCTTTATAGTGATCAAGAAATAATTTTATGTTCAAATTATATATTCAGCCCCATTTTGTCTTGCCAAACTAAAAAAACAAAAAAAAAAAAAAAANAAAAAAAAAAAAAAAAAAAAAAAAAGAAAAAAGAAAAAAAGAAAAGAAGCATTCAGTGGCATGCCTGTTCCTAATTAGCTTTCACGCAAAAGAGAAAAGTTCACAACATAATTCTATCACCATTGCCCCTGCCACACAACACCTCAACACACACATTTTTAAGAAACACAAAAGGCTGGACAGTTTATATATGGATTGAGTTGCATATACTGTGTTACTGTAAGAAACTTACTTGGCCCAAGTGTATAATAACAAAGAGTTGAACCTTGGGTTGTTGAAGATGACTTCCCTTACTTTTGAATAGGATGCTGGAGGCCTGCAGGCATGGAAACTCAAGATCCCAGCTTTCAACTACCATGTGAACAGCACTTACAACCATGCTGCCCTCTAAGTGCCTGTGAGGGAACTATCCAAGTGCTGGGTGATTTTTGCCTACCAAAATGACTAAAATTAAAAAGACCACCAATACCAAGTATTGGCAAGAATGTAGGGAAATAGGAACTCTCTTACACTGCTGATGAGAATGCAAAATTGTATGGCCATGTTGGAAACAAGTTGGCAGTTTCTTAAAAAAATTAAACTTACGCTTCCCATATGACTCAGCAATTGCATTCCTAGATGTCTACCCAAGGGAAATAAATATATATATCCACACAAAGATTTGTATTCAAATGTTCATAGCATCATTATTCATAATAGCCTAACTCTGGAAACAACCCAATGTCCACCAGCTGTTGAATGGATAAACAAAATATTGTGTTTCTGTACAACAGAACACTACTCAGTAATAAAAGGACTGAACTACTGATACGTGTAACAACATGAATTAATCTCAAAAATATCATGCTAAGTGAAAGGAGACAGATATAAAACAATATATGCTATACAGTTACATTCATTTAAAAACTCTAACAAAAGCATAATTATTCAGCAATAGAAAACAGATTGAAGAGCTGGGGTGGGAGCAGGAATGAACTACAACAGGGCATGAGGGAACTTTCTGGGGATGTTGAAAGTATTCTAAATTTTAATTTTGGTGATGGTTACATGACTGTATAAATTTGCTAAAACTCATATAACTGTATACTTTAAATGGATAATGTCAAGGTATGTAAATTATAGTTCAATAAAGCTATAAAACAAAAGAGTATTTTTAACTTCAATTATATTTTTCTTTAAAAATGTACATGTTTATTTTAGAATGTATGAAAGGTATAAAAATGGAAAATAAAAACCTTAATCCCACCTGCCAGAGATAACTACTACTGAGGTTCTTTAATGAGTTAATATTGAAAACACTATTGTACCCTGAACGTTTTCACCAGATGTTACATCCTGAACATTTTACCATTTTAAGTTCTTCAAAACTGTGATATTTGGTGGCTATATAATATTACGTTATGTGTGCTACAGTAATAGATTTGCCAATTCCCCCTTTATTAGACATTTAGATATTTACAATTTTTATTCTTATACAGCTAAATTCTGAGAGTGTAAATAAGATCCAAAGTTTATGGATGATTTTTGAGGCCCTTGATAAATACATATTTCTAAATTGCTTTTCAGAAATGTTTTATAAAGTAAGAGAGTGACCATAGCACTGTTACTTGGAAGCACTGTTTTCTTTCTTTCTTTTAAAAAATATTTTAAATCACTTGTATTTCTGGTGAGATTGATTCTTTCTAAGGTACTACCATAGTCATTGAAACTGTTTACACATATTCCGGTTCATTTCCCTTTGGAAACATAACAGGTTTGGACTCCTCTTTTTTTGAAATTATGCTTGGCCATGGGACTTGCTTTGGCCAATGAAATATGAATAAAGTGACCTGTCACTTCTGGCCCAAAACTTTAAAAGCCAGTGCACAATTTTCCACGTTTCCCTATTTCCTGCTTATAGGATGATGAACGTGTGAATTGAGATGGAGCATCTGCCAGCCTGGGGTCATCAGAGACCTGATGACCTTGGCTCCCCAGTCAACCCACACTGAGAGGTAACAAGAGTAAGAAATAAACCTTATTGCATCATTGAAATTCAGGGCTGGTTGTCACTGCAGCATAATTGAGATTATCCTGACTGATATGGTTTCGTGTATTTTTGTATAACAATATGGTGAAAAATTGATCAATGTCCTTTCACTTTAGGAAAATAAGTAAATTGATACTAGGGCTGTGTGATTCTGAGAGAAAGGGAAAACATATGTATTCATAACCAATGATTTTTCCATTTAAAAATAATATTGTAGCTGGGTGCAGTGGCTCACGCCTGTAATCCCAGCACTTTGGGAGGCTGAGGCAGGTGGATCACCTGAGGTTGGGAGTTTGAGACCACCCTGACCTACATGGAGAAACCCTGCTTCTACCAAAAGTACAAAATTAGCTGGGTGTGGTGGCAAATGCCTGTAATCTCAGTTACTCGGAAGGCTGAGGCAGGAGAATTGCTTGAACCCAGCAGACGGAGGTTGCGGTGAGCCAAGATTGCGCCATTGCACTCCAGCCTAGACAAAAAGAGTAGAACTCTGTCTTACCAACCAAGCAACAAACAAAAACCTAAAAAGTAAGTAAATAAAAAAAATACATAGTGCTCGCGTCAGCAGCACATATACTAAAATTGCAATGACACAGAGAAGATTAGCATGGTCCCTGTGCATGGATGACTCGCAAATTAGTGAAGCGTTCCCTCTTTTTTTAAAAAAAGAAAATCATATTGTCATGCATTTCTACAAGTGAAGTGAAGAAAGGAAATTATATGACTCATAGGAACAAAGTAAACCATGAGTTTTGTGAAAGTGGCACCAAAAATTCAGAAAGAGAGAGAAAAGTCAGCTCCGAGACTCTAAGTTATCTGCTCCTATTTGTTTTGTGTTCTTCCACTGCTGTTAGCCAGACAACACTGCGGGCACTGTGATTGAACAGGTGCAAGCTTGCACTGCTGTGATGAGAAAGGTGTTTAGAAGTATTACAAAAGACATGTTAAGACAATCCAGTTTCTGCCAATGAATGGAGCATTTTGTGTTTGGATCCCAAAGAAGTTACTCTTCTTGTCAAAGGAAATAAACTAAATTATCTTTCCTAAGGCCACACACAGGCAGAAGCACATACAGGATGCAGAAGGTCAGGTAGAAACACAATGGCAGGGAAACAGAGGTTCAACAAGGAGATAACATTTTGCCAACCATAATATTTATAGACAGACCAGAAATATTCTAGCATAGGGATTAAGGACGCCAAAGAAATGACTTCTCAGAACAAGTAGGCTTACAATTTGGGGGCCAGAATCCAAACAGAATCTACAGAACTTGTACAATGCAAGGAGAAAAATACCAAATGGCTAAGCAATTTCACCTTAAAAAATAATAACAGAACCTCTCCTACATCATATTCTTTGTTGGTATACATAAAATGTTATTTGTATGTACACATACATACATATTAGCAGTAAAGTACGATCATTCTCCTTCTTTGAAAAGTCCCAAGTTTCACAACTCCTGTGGGTATTGCTATATAGAGATATAAAGATATCTTGGTCGGTAGTTTTTTTACGTGACCATTACAGTCAAGGTTCTGGTACCCAGAATGGCATAAGCACACATGTACATTATCTCTACATCCTCATGTCTGCCTAAATAATGCACCACTTTGTGCTGTTTTTTTTTCAGGTAAAGATCTATGGCTAAAAGTATGAGTGATTTATTCCTTTACTACTGAAATATTTATAGCAGCCTTGATGTGACTTATATAGAAGAAAATTAAATAGCGAAGAAACTGTAGCAGAATTACAGTTAGAAATAAGTAATAGGCTTAGGAAAGAAATTTTAAAATCAGCAAATACAAATTTTACACTTGGGAAAAGTATTGGAAAAAATCTGTTCAAATTTTAAACTCTGGTTTCAAAGCCATTTTAATGAGAACATTAAAGAGGAATTTTTACTTTTCAAAAACAAGACTATTGGGTTACTTAATCACCAAATTTTATATAATGATAGAACTTCTATTAGGCAGCACAATTGAGTGCAAAGGAAAAGGAACTGCAGCTCTACTTCTGCTGGAAAATAAAATAAAGAAGCAAGAAAGCCAGGCGTGGTGGCTCACGCCTGTAATCCCAGCACTTTGGGAGGCCAAGGTGGGTGGATCAAGAGGTCAGGAGTTCAAGAGCAGCCTAGCCAACACGGTGAAACCCTGTCTTTCACAAAAAATACAAAAAAAAAAAAAAAATTAGCTGGGAGTGGTGACGGGTGCCTATAATCCCAAGTACTTGCGAGGCTAAGGCAGGAGGCACTTGAATCTGGGAGGCGGAAGTTGCAGTGAGCTGAGATTGTGCCACTGCACTCTAGCACAGATGACAGTGCGAGACTCTGTCTAAAAAAAAAAAAAAAAAAAAAAGAAACAAGAAAGCATGTTCATTTTTTTCTCCTATACATTTATTAGTAAAATAAGACTAATATCTATAGGTCCTGAGAATTTATTTTGAGGATGTGTCTTAATATTAATAGCTAATATTTATTGAGAATCTATCATGTAGCAGTCAATTTACATACGTTACCTTACTTAATCTTCACAAAAACCTTATCAAGTCAGCTGTGGTAGATCCAATTAATGGTGGTCCCAATTATCCCAGTGTTATACCCTCTCCCACACTGACCCTGAGCCTTGCCATCTGATTTGCTTTGTCCCATGGAACATTAGCAAGCATGATACAAGTAGAGGCTGAATAAGAAGATTCATATTCTTATTCCTGTAAGTATAAGAGGCTTGAACATTGAATTTTGCTTCTCAAGATCTAGTTGTTGCCATGTAAAAAGCTCAGGCTAAGTTATTAAATCATGAGAGGTCCCCTGGAGAGAGGCTCTGGAGAGTGAGAAGCATTCTAGCCCTGGCCAAGCTCTCAGCTGATTATCGTTGAATAAGAAACCCAAGCAAAGCCAACAGAACCACCCAGCTAAATCCCAACCCACAGAATAATTTTAAAGTAATAAATCAGTAGCCCAGGTATGGTGGATCATGCCTGTAATCTCAACACTTTGGGAAACCAAAGTGGGCAGACTGCTTGAGGCCAGGAATTTGAGACCACCCTAGTTCAAGCCATGATCGTGCCTGACTGGAACTACCCCAATAGCATATGGGGAAGAGAGAAAAATGAAAAAAAAAAAAAAGGCACTAAAGAGAGCATGGAGGGTTAAGGGAAAATAGAAAAACACTTTCTGATTCAACAGTTCTTGCTGTCTCTGCCAACCCCTGCACCAGCCCAAATTGAGGTACATTCTACAAAGTACCTTGGCAGTACTCTTCAAACGGTGGCTATCTTTAGAGCAATGAGGCTGGAATCTGGCAGACTGAGGGGAATGTTTTCTCTGTTTACTTCTCTGCCACAACTGTACTAATTTCTAGAAAAGCATAGGGAATGGGTGTTTGTGCATCTCATGCCCTATAATCAATTAGAAAATAAGGTTCTAGGCCGGGCGCCGTGGCTCACGCCTGTAATCTCAGCACTTTGGGAGGTTGAGGGGGGTGGATCACCTGGGGTCAGGAGTTTGAGACCAGCCTGACCAACACGGTGAGACCCCGTCGCTACTAAAATACAAAAATTAGCTGGGCATGGTGGCGCATGCCTGTAGTCCCAGCTACTCGGGAGGCTGAGATAGGAGAACTGCTTGAACCTGGGCAGTGGAGGTTGCAGTGAGCTGAGATCGTGCCACTGCACTCCAGCCTGGGAGGCAGAGTAAGAGTCCATCTCAAAAAATAAAATAAAAGAGGTTCTACATGCAGCTTTGGGGAGGAGATTACAACTGGAGTGTGCACTAAGCTCTTGAGAAGCTTGATTCCTTCCTCTGCATACCAAAATGCTGCTTTGGATTTTGGTGGTTTGCTCCTCAAGAGAAAAGATCTGGGCAGGAGAAGGTTAATTGACTAAGCAAAACCATGACTTCCAACACAGAATGTTCTTTAAAAAAAAAATGCACCAGGATGTGTTAGCCCAATAAATAATTCATTGGACTGCCTATTCACAGACTAATAGAAAAATATTACAGAATACCTACATGTCAATCAGTCTGCAGTTAAATAAATACTCTATGCAGATGTCACCTGTAAAACCCAGATTTATATATTAATTATATGTTTCACCCAGACAAAAACATAATATCTAGTAAGGACTTCAAAGATTATTAAAATCTCATGCCCTTGAAAAGGTTACCTGACATCTTGTAGGCCAGATCCAGGGTTGAATAGACATGTCCCCTGCCACTGAGCTTACAATAGCCAAACATTCAAATGACACTTTAGTTACATTTGCTGCCCTTACAGAGAAACATTGAGAGCTGTGATCCTTCTGGGCCTGCTGGAATTCTCTGACTGCTGCAGCAGTGAATGCAAAGGCAAAATGTGCATCTGCAAATGCCCCAAATCCAGCTCCATCAGAAACTCCCATTTTTACTTAAATAATTTCCGAATTATTTGCTATACTTAAAAAAAAGTGACAATGATAAGTCCTGTATCCCAGAAATTGTGCTTTACGTAGCATTTTTTCCCACTTAATCTCTACAACAACTTTGTAAGGCAGGTATTTTTATTACTCTATTTTTAGATAAAACATCCAGAATATGCTAAAACTGAGAGTAATCAAAAAGCATCATGGGTAATATTACAAATTGACACCATGAAGCTCCTGTAAGAGGAAAAATAAGGAAGTAAATCAGTTCTGTGGTATTCTTACTAAAAGTGCATAACGTGAACTCAATCACCACCAGATCAACCCAAATTGAGGGACGTTCTAAAAAATACCTTGGCAGTATTCTTCAAATGCATCAAGGGCATGAAAGACAAAGACAGACTGAGAATCTGTTGCAAATCAAGGAAGACAAACTAAATACAACATGCAAATCTGGGCTGGATCTTGGACCAGAAAAAAGGTACATTAGTGGGCCAATTGGTGAACTTGAGGACTGTAGGTCAGATAACAGTATTTTATCAATGTTAACTTTCTGATTTTGATCACTTCACTGTGGCGTGAAAAATGTTACCATTTGGGGAAACTATGAGACGGGTACTTAGAAATTTTTTCTTTTGGTGTAAATAAAAAATTATTTCAAAATTAAAAGTTGAAAAGTGGAAAAAAAAAGTAAAAGAAAAACACATTAAATGCAGCATCCCAGTAGGGAGTCTGGGGAGACAGAGAAGGTGGTACCATATTTGGGGTGGGAATGAATCTCTTTTGACAGCTCCAAACTATTTGGGGTTTGTCCTTGGAGCGGTTTATACAGAAGATCAATTTCTGAAGTGTAAAATTCTTGTGACTGACAGGCTGTTGGAGTTGGAAGAGAACGTAGAGGCACTCTGAGGACCTTCATCTCGCAGAAATGACATCTGAAGCTCAGAAAGGCATGAAGATGATGGACCCAAGGTCATGCAGCTAAAGAGTCAAGATAAGAACCTAGCTCTTCTGGGTCACAGGATACTATTTCTGTGCCAGCACTCATTTCTGAAAGAGGACACCTCCCTGCTCAAGTCCAGAATCCATGGTGTAGGGGCTTTATCCATTATCCATGTGATTCTACCCACCTGCTAGAGAACAGTCATTCACTTACTCACTCATTCAACAAGTATTTATTCAGTGCCTCTCAATGCCAGGCATTACTTGAAGGGTGAATCATACAGCAGCTAGCAAAAACAAAGTTCTCAAATTCTAGTGG